CCAAAAGCTTTGCCGTTTGATATATCAGGCCACCCAGTAAAGCCTTTCCTGTATATTGAGAGATGTTTGGTGCAGTTGTATTTTTCAGCTGCTAGGATATCTGGGTCTGAAAAGTTCCATCATTTGAATTGTTTAGAAAATAGATTGTCATTTAGATCCTGTCTGCAAATCCCCGAGTGCAGTTTATGCCCACAGTTAATTACATTGGCCAGAACAGAGATGTCATTTTTGTGCCCATGCTTTCAGAGCATAGAAACCACCCAGATATTTATTCCCATAATGATATTCATATCAAACTGTGGGCAGTGTCGCAGATAGTCACAGGTTGAGGAATGTTTTCTGTGATTTACCACACAATTTCAGATGTTATTGGGGTGGGCTTTAACTAGAGGTTTCCTGCGCCTTGGGATATCCTCCCGATGTGAAAGGTGCTGTACAATAGCAATTTTTGTTGTTGTTTTTATTATCCACTCCCCAAAAGGAAGGAAATAAAATTGGAAGCTGTATCTGAAGACAAGCACTGATCTCGTGTGGACAGTTACTAAGTAGTTTTGACACAGGTCTGGCAACAGAATAGTGGAAAATACTAAAATTCTGTTTAATTTGGAAGCTGATTTTCCTCAGTTCTTTAAACGTACGAGTTTCTGAATCAAATTGAATGTGGAATTTTCCACAATTTTGCAACTTCTTCCAATTTTAAGGCAAAGTGGTCTTACAGGCTAAAAATAGATGGAATTTCGCCCCCACCCACCGCCCCCAAGCTTTGTGTTGCCAGCATCATAAAATAAAATAAGATGCAAATAAATTTGAGTTGCAGAGTTACAGATTAATAATGATAAAATGAATATTTTATAATAATAAGAATGATAATCCTTGCATTTGATATAGCGCATTATCACGTCTTCGAGACGTCTCAAAGGACTTCACAGAATATACTGTAAGATGAATTGACTGTATATTTTGTTCTAGGTGCGCTCCAATAAACCTGTTTATGTTTTTCAATCATTTGAAAAGGAAAAAATTAATTTTCCTACTTGTGACAAGTTATTAGCCATGATGCTTATCACATTATTGCTAAGTGTGATCAAGTTAACCAGTCGATAACTAACAACAATTGATAACTAAAGACTGCCCATGGATTTGCCTCTGATTCTGTCACAATAGTTGGACCCAGACAATTGAACTTACTGGCCCACATATTCAAGCAAGTTCTCTGTCTTTCTGTTGAGTTAATCACGTGATCTGCTAACCAACACTCCAGTGTCACTTCTGGAGTGTTTGGAATGATTCCCCACATCAGATCCAACTAATGATGAAAGCTTGCAGAAGTGAGTCTATTCAAGATACTGCTCGATGCTGAGAGTGCCTTCCCTTCACACGTTCTACAGCTCCGTTATATAACACAGAAGCTTGAGTTTTTCACAGTGCTTGTCTTTTTTTTCATCACCCCTTGTTAACCAGTTGACCAAGGATGAAATACCTCTTCCTGTAGTGTTTCTCTTTCTGCTTTCATTAATCTCATAAGCATGTCAAGGGCAAAGCTGTTGCAGGCTCATTATGAGTTAGACTACAGAATGAGATCCTAGATTTATTCACGTGTTACTGTATCTGTGTTACTAAATCTCATAACACTTTGATGTAAGTAAATAACATGAAATCAGATCTGCTTGAATAATCACACAATCAATCACAGTTATTAGCAAAATAAAGATTATGCAAGTCTGATTTGATTCTTCTGAAACTTTTGAAATTCAGCTTACGTGTGGAAGAGTATAGTAGCTGAATGAACAGAAAGATTAGGAAGTCACTGCCATAACAAACGTCTTAAGGGTTGAATTCTACAAATAGATTGCGTGTATAGATTAAAAATTCTTATCAAATACTGGCCTTGCTTAAATGTTGAATGTAAAGTCAAATAAATTGCCATAAGTGATGTGAAAATGCATGGACTCCAAGCTATCAAAGAGAGCAATACAGGGTTAGTGTTCATTGTATTTGTAAGAATGGTATTTAGGCAGAGAACAGGGAAATTAGTGCCAGTCTGCATGTTGCAGTAATCCTGCCATGATTGAATGGCTGACCTCCATAAATCAATCTTTTGACTTTGGTCACATTAAGTCTTTGTATAGTTTGTTGAGAAGCAAACAATGCCAATTAACAATGTTTTAAATGATAGATTCTTGTTTTTTTAAAAAATAAAATTATGTGCATGACTGGAACTTGTAATTTTATTAATTAAGACTGTCAAATAGTTGCTGAACTGTAGGTCTTGAGGGGGAGTTCTTTGAAGTTGAGGATCAATCAAAAATGTACAGAAACTATTAGAATATCAAGTTTTCTAATAATTTGAATCATCTGCCCAAAAACTAATAATCCTTACATTTGATATAACGCCTTATCATGCAAGCGCTTTGCAAGATCTAGTGTAGTGTGTAATAACTGTGTATTTTGTTGGCAAAAGGTCCGGTCTTAGAGATGGAAATTGAAAGGCAATCTTAACTAAGAATTGTTACCAGTTCTCTGGGTGAACACTTTTACTTTGCTCTGAAATCCATCATCTGAGAGAAGACTAAGAGTAAGAAACCCTGATTAAACTAGACCCTGGCCACGGACAAATATCATCTGTGATCTGATCAAGAAATAATATTAACCGTGACATTAAACAATTCTGCCTCACACTGTTTAATGGTGGAACATTTGAAAGAGGAAAAGTAGCAGAGATAAACAGCACTTGGGAGACCAAATAAAGAGAAAAAAAGATGGGAAATTAGAGATATGATTAATGGTGCCTGAAAGTGAAAGAGTAAATGTTTGAAGTGCGATGCAGTGTGAATGTGCCTTTATGAATGAAGTTCCAGTTGCCTGATTTCAATATTTAAAAGGCATATTTTATTAATTTGAAATCAGATAATTGCAACTTTTTAAAAACAGGATTGCTTCTGATTTGTGAGCATAATTTTAGTGTTTAAAATAAATTGATCTTTTACAGATAATTTAGGGATTAACACTAATGCAATCCTAAAACATGAGTCTTCTGGTGAAGGGAGCCTTAAGTGGCAATTGTATGAAGATTTAAGTTTTAGATTCCTTTCATGTAGCTTTAAGTTATTAGCCTATTCATCACACCAATTACAAGGCACTTTCCCGTGCAGAAGCTAACCTGCAATAAAATAAATGTGCGTTATTTATTTTTACGTAAACTATTAAAAGCAATAAGGTCACAATAATTATTTAAAGAATCTTTAGTTGACTGCACAGGTGACAAATTAATAATCAAATCAATACACCTGAATTAACTAGTAGTGCTTATGTAGACAATTTTATTATAACAGATCCTTTGAAATACATTGTACTGCAGATTAAAACCTTTTTCATAATTATTTTGTATTTTTACTGCCGTATAAACCAACCCTGATGGTCTCCATTAAAGTGATGTAGATCTGTGTGTAAATGTTTCATGTGCTATTCTCTTGAGGGACAGTAAACTAATCATTGTTCAGCTGCCATCTAATGTGAGCTCCAGGGACCCAAACTCATCACAGCTAGTGAAAATTAAGCTGTTTAAAATGTTTACCCTATTCTCAAGTAACTTTGAAGATTCAAGAAAGTTGACTGTTTCACAGGGTTCGATGGAGCAGTGGTCTTGTATTACTTCTTTGTTCATTGAGAAATGTTTAAAATTCTGGTGAGCTGAAAACCTTGGAAAATTCCAAAGTAAAGTTAATGACGGTCTTCAAAGTGCTGGTATTTCAAGGAATCATTGTGCATTAGCTGAAGCCGTGCACGAGGCTACTTTAATTATTTAAATGAATGTCTGCCAGGCTGACAGGAGCCACAGAGAAATCTATGGCCGTGCAGCCCCACTTATTAAAAGAGGAAGGCAGGAAGCAGCAAAGTTGGGACAATAGCAGGACAAAAATATCTGTTAAAAACATCAGTTCAGACATAAAGATGAAAATAGTTATTTTATACTGAATTGACATGGCCAGGAGGGAAGACACTTTGCTTTATCCCCAGAGGTGGAGCGCTGTGGAGTGCTGGTGTAAACTTGTAGATCCACATCATGCCAGCAGCGCACAGTACCCATATGGTTCCAGTAGTGTGTCCTTTGCAAAATCGAGTCGTTTTTCAATGTTACTAAAGAGCAACACAGTTCTGCTGAAACGTACGATAGAGTCAAGCAAGCCCAATGTGACCCACAGTTAGACCAGGTGGATGAGAACCACACTGCTTCTGAAGTCTAATCGCTAGGCTGGTCTCCAGAGCGAGGCTCCACTATGGATTGTGCTGTCTCCATCTCCATTTGTAGGCACGTGCGATGCTGTCTGAATGCAGCATTAAATCCAATGAAATATTGCTGTTTTAACATCTTTCTCAAAATCCCCACCCAAAAAATAAAGTTGACCCATTAATTCACATTGCAGCTTTCAAACACGAGTCAGTATCTGACTCTTGTATGAGTATTTTGTTGAGATCAGCAATACAATATTATAATTCGACTAAATGGCACCTTAGTTGTCAAAGTAAAGCCTGAGTTTAAACAGATGCCAGCCATTTGAAGTACATGAATGAAAGTGTGTAATTCAGATTTTATACATGTGTATTTGTTTACATTGTCTACCTAGAGACCTTCATTTTGTAGACCTTGATTTCTTACTTTGAGTTACGAGGTTGGGACTAATGATGCATATTTATTTAAGAACATTGGTTTCCCACTATTTCACATTGGGGTCTCGGTTTTGATGTTTAACCCTACAAATGTTTGTGTATCCATTTGTACACAGTTATGTGCCATTTCCAGATATCTCCTCCTGGGAGGACTATAGGTGTTTCAGGGTTACATTATACTTGACAAGTGTTGCTGGAATGAATGTTGAAGCACAGGGAAGTTGCAGTAATTACAAAAGTATTGGCTACTGACTTGGGAACAAGCCCTCAGGGAAACTACAGCCACTAGCAGGTTTACGTGTTGACAGTTTTTTTTTCTCTTTTCCTCTTAGCTTTGAAGATGCAACAAGATTCTTTGGTGTGAAGCCAAAATCTGGAGATAAAGAGGTTACTCCAAACCATATTTTCATGTTATGGTATGAATTTTCTTCCGACTTCAAGAATATCTGGAAACGTGAAAGCAAAGCGATTTCTAAAGAAAGGTAAGAGGCCGATTAAGTCATTAATAGCAGATGCTTAGCAGTTTGGAAAGCACTTTGTTTTAAGCTAAATATACTGCACTGGCACATTACACAAGCTTTATTGTTTGTTTTTTTATTAACTTGGCATAAAGCAAAGTCTAATCCTCAAGGGTATGTTGAAAAAGTTGCCAAAGTCTGCTATACCCACAAGGAAGATAAACACACATAATCTGATAAATTACACTTTCCCAACTCTTTTCAATTACCTGCTAATAAAGTGGAATGAGAGCTGTGCTAATTTGTAACAGATTGCTTCACTAGTGCATTTTTATGTTGAACTAGCCTAAATGAGCTGATATTACTGTCGCAGACAGTACAGGCAAATAAAAGTGAATGCTTTTCCAGTTATTAAACTTCACTCGCATCAAAGAGAACCCCCCCAGACCTAGGCCACACTTAGCACAATGTCAGAACCCTATACTGAATTTACGGCACCACATCTGACCCCAGGTACCCTGCTGGGGACATCAAACTGCGTGACACTGCTTCTCGCAACAGTCTCCTGATTTTATTGGTTTGAGAAAGAATAACCTTATCCCATATATGCTTTTAGGTAGGGTTTCATGAAGGAAGTTTTTATGTGAGGGTTGCATTACGGCTAAAAGATTGGCATTTTCTCAGTTTTATAGCATAATCTTTTTTTTACAGTTATATTCTTTGCTAGAATTCAATATTTCAATTCTGTTTGGAAATGAATGGTGACTGCTGACAATATTATTCTTAAGATCCCACCCTTTGCACAAAGCTTTTTTTTAAAGTGCTTGCGTTGTTGATAGCGTGTGAGCTGTTTTATGAACTTTCTCTCTCTTACCAGGGATAAGGCATTGTTGCATTCTAATATTACAGTCACCCATGTGCTCTCTATATTTTCCACTGTTACAGTTTTAGTGTGTAACTATCGCATTATTTATGAACTGTGATGAATAAAACTGTTCTGCAGCAAACACATTGGAGGCATGTAATGAATTAATGCTCTTGATCAATGAATTCTATGGCTTTGTTTTTTTCGTAAACTCATGTTCTAGATGGTCGAGTAAGTGCAAACAAATATTATTTTCATACGATGTATGTTCTTGACTTATACATCTCAATTAGTGCCTTAAAATACTATACAAGGGAAACCAGATGGATTTAAAATGTTTAATGTCTCATGCCTTAGACACTCTTGGGAAAAGTAAAAAAAAAGTGGAGCTAGTATAAAACCGCACAATACTGTTAACTCATTAGGTTCGAAACTCATTTAACAGCTTACTTTTAAAGTTTACAGCATATTGTAATCCTAATATTAGAAACAAAATGTGAAACAAACGTTTCTTCCTAATGATGTTATGTAAATATAACGGTGAGATAGCATCCATGCCATTCGACTGCGACTTTGGGGTTAAAGCTAGAGTTTAATGAAAAGCAGAGGGATCCATTAGGATATATAACTGAAAATGGGAGTTCCTTGAAATGTTGTAAAACGGGACAGCGGAAAAACATCCACATCTAGAATGTCTTGTAAAGTCATGACCCTTAGCGACACTGTTTTCCTAAGTGTGAAACCGTTGATTTACCACCGAGTTTACTAGAAATAGGTCAGAATCAAATTAATTGGGTGTAATTCTGCCATCTCTGCTGATGTGGTTTCCTGGTACGTTCTAGTTCTGCTGTTACCAATGAGTGTGATAAACAAAGCATTATTGAACAGGAATTATTGACACTTACCCATTCTCCTACATTATCTTTAGAAATAAAAAAATAAAAAAAGGTTGCTAGCATGGTCAAAAGTGCGAGATTGCAAATAGTTTTGATGCAGTGTTCAGTAAAGATTGAGTTGAGGATGTAAATCTGATTCAATTCTTGTTTTTTTCATGGGGGTTGGGGGGGCTGATTCTTATATCAATGAAAGGAATCACTAGGAATGGCTGTCACCAACGTACAGTGTACAGTTTGGTCACGGCGACATAAGGGAACTATACAGCCCGAGGCAGTGCAGAGCAAAAGCATTACGGATAATCCCCATTGTTGGAGGGATGAGCTATAAAATACTTAATGGAATTCAGAAAATGAACACATGGAACAGTTACTTTCAGATAAAGCAAAACAGCAGGGTAAGAGGACACAGGTTCAGAGTTTTGAATGGCACTTTTAGGACAGACACCATGAAGTATTTATTCGCAAAGGATAACAAAAACGGCAACAACAACTTGCACTTATATAGCACCCTTTACGTAAAGTAGCATCTCAGAGTTAGAGTAGCATCTCAGAGTGCTTAACAGTGACGAAGCCTGACTCTGAGCCGGGCGAGGGGAGAGGTGGTCATAAACACGGTCAAACAGGAAAGGTTTCAGACGGGACTTGAAAGAGGGGAGAGGGGGCAAGGCGGAGGGATTGAGGAAGAGTGTTTCAGAGTTTTCGGGCATAGTGGCTGAAAGCACGACCTCCGATGGTGGGGTGGAGGGTGTGAGAGACGAGCAAGAGGCGCCAATCGAGCGGAGGTACTGGGTAGTGGAGTGGGGAGTGAGGAGGTCAGAGAGATAGGGAGGTGCCAGGGAGTGAATGGATTTGAACAGTGAACAGTGTGGGCACTGAGTGTTGACAGGATCAGGTTCAGTTGTGAACTCTCCATAGTCAAACAGCCTGACAACTCTTGCTGTCCTGGTTTACTTGAATAACCATTTGGGAGAGGTACTGGACATCTCCTGCTAGAAGTGGAACTGGTGCCATCCTTCTGTGTGAGTTGGTATCTTTTGGAGAGAAGAGATCAATGGAGAAAACTGGAAGGCAAATTGCATGAGAGAAACAAAGAAGTCAGAACATTAATCATCAATAGGATTAGATGTAGGGAGAGATGGAGTTTTCATTGAAAGCAATTCCTTTGCAGTAATCTTCTGTAATACATGTATCTTGATGACATCATCAGGTGGAGTTACAAATCCAGACAGAAGAGAGTTGTGGTTAATTTTGTGGTATTTCTTCACAGATTTCTTCATTAGCAAACAAAGGCAGATCTCTTTTGGAGAACTGAATGTACATCATTCATGGGAACCCTGCTCTGAAAATAGATTAAGGAACTTTAAGACTTTTGTACGATTTTGTTGATAAAAAGTAATTTTTTTAGTCTTTATATAGTTTATTACTTAGCATTTTAAAATACTTTGAAGTTAAATCTAGAGCTAACCTAGGAAAATCTGTGTGTTCTGATAAAGACATTGTTCTTCCAAACCCATCTGTGGGGTCACAGAGGTATTTGCAATCCACCCTAGTAAAAAACTAAAAGGTTTACTAACAAAGATGGCATTCAGGTTTGAATAATACAGAACTCCCAGGGACATAATGCAGAATATAATTTTAGTTGCTGTTGACTCAAGCCAAGCTAAATCATGCAATTAAACTACAAGAGAAACAAGCAGCAGTAATAGGTGAAACAAATGCTGTGTAATAAGGGTTGTCTTGAGGAGACTGTGATGAAAGGCAACCAGTCATTTCAGACATGAGAAAGTAGGCGTCTAGTGGCAGACCTTTCACTTGATTTTATAGAGTCTGAATGAAAAGCAGGCTGGCAAAGACCCTGATTACTGTCTCTCTGGGAAAGTATTCTTGATGTGAAGGGTGAATTGATTCATGCCTGTGCTTCTAATGGATTTTTACACAGTGGGAATGTGTTAACTGGGAAAAGAAACGGATTTGTACCGCAACAAAGTATTTGTGCAGCAGAAAACGTCCACTTGCAACTCAACAAAACAATTTTGCATTGTTTAATTTTCATACCTTATTTAGTTTTATTATAAATATGCAGGTAAAGACAATGAAGTGTTTCTATTTTCAATTTAATCTGCAAATTACTAAAATATTTTGGTGATTTGGTGGACTTTACAGAGTATCCTGTGAGATGTTCCAACAACGTGATTAAGGTCCTATTTGAAATACAAGGATTAATTACTTACCCTATTATTTTATTGAATGAGCACTGGCTCAGCTCCCTCTCCAATCACTCCAACCACACAGTTGTACAATAAGAATATGCTTTATTTTAATAGAGGCACAATCATCAGTAGAGAAGCGCTTGGCAAACTTTTGTCAGAATGCACAATGTGCTACTGAAACAGCACCACATGGTTTGCAGCACGTAATGTTCTTGAAGTGAAAATGAATCATAGCTGCTTCAACTTTTCTTTCCCGCTGTGAATGCACCGATTAATGTTTTGTGCAAACTAGTCTTTGGAAGTCCCTGTCCAGCAAAATTCCGCAACGTTCAGGCTCACGAAAGTCACAAAGCTTCTTAGCTCAACTTGGCAAATCTCTCACTTCTTTTCAAAATGAAGGTGGGCAACAGCTTACGTAACATGCTCATGTACTCACCGAGGATCACATCTGTCAGCATAGCATAAATAAAGCTCTGGGTGGCCGGTAACAGGCTAAAGATGACTGGTGATCATTTTGGATATTTTCCTATTCTGGTGGTATAACAGGCAGATCAGAATATATAAATTTTGACCCGAGAGGATGGAACGTCTGCCCAAGCAGTAACTGGAATTGGGTTACGATCTTGGTTCCAATCTGTCCCTCCCAAAGGACATTCGAATGTATGTCCAGGAAGACAGAGGTTTTTTTGCTCAAAAGAAAAAAGGAAAGCAGCAGTGTGGTTAGAAACAACTCCAACTAGATTTATTCTGTCAGGGTTAGTCTAAATGCACTTTTGTCAGAATGCAAGTTACCACCATCAGTGTTAATTTCAGAGGAGAATCATTTTACCTGGTGCTGTCCAGATCAGAATTTGATCATAAATCACTTCTGCTCAGCCTTGGCAATGGGAAATGTTTGCAAAATACATGAATCCAAGATGAATTGGTGGCGAAATATACTTTAAGGACCTGTTTAATTCATGGCCATATCCTAAGTATAGCCACTGGGGAAAATCATGGATTATTATAATTGTGTGTTATTTTTGGCAGAAACAAGAAGGCAATCTTCATTTG